TCCAGGCCTAGTCACCTCGTAGAGAAATAAGTGGTCGTTGTGTCCAGGATCAGGGACTGCTGGGCGGGGATTCCAAGGGAGGCAAGCTACACCCGAGAAATGCCTCAATGGCCTTAACTCTCTGCAGGAAAGAAACGGGGACCCGAAGGATGTCAGACTATTATTTCAAGAACAAAATAACTCACTCTCCACTTATAGGGAGAAACTGAGAAGTGAAGAGATGGCAAGAGCTTGTTCCTCAAAACTACCACAAGCGGGTAGAAGAAAAAGGCTGTGGCAAAAATGGGGTGTGGGGAGGAAAGAATGGTTCACTCTTTCTTTTTTGTTCTTGTTTCACATTTGTTTTAACAATGGCTACATTAGAACCTAATTAGCAAAGTTTACCTTTACTATCAAACCAGTAAGTCAAACCAGACTTCGTGGGTCAGAAACACTCTGAGTTTTCTATTCACATAACCATATTAATGTATATTTTGGAAAAAAAAAAAAGAACACTGACAAATTCTAAATGCACCTTCCATGACATTGTTAGAGAAGTCAAGTTTAAATTACGGAAGCTCTAATATAATGATTTTATCCATTTTTATAAAACTATAAAAATTTTCTGGCCAGGTGAGGTGGGTCACACCTGTAACCCTAGCACTTTGGGAGGCCGAGGCAGGAAGACCACTTGAGGCCAGGAATTCAAGACCAGCCTAAGCAGCATTGGGAGAGCTAGTCTCCACAAAAAATACAAAAATTAGCTGGGCGTGGGTGGTTTGGGTGAGTAGTCCCAGGTCTTCACCAGGCTGAGGTAGGAGGATCGCTTGAGCCCAGGAGTTGGAGGTGCAGTGAGCTGTGATGACAGCACTGCACTCAAGCCCAGGCAACAGAGCAAGATCCTGTCTCTAAAAAAAAGACAAAAAAGAAAAACTCATATTCTAATTTGTAATAACATATAGCTAAAATCATGTTTCATATGAAGCAAGAAATAAGATACAAGGCATTGTATTACTTTGGAAAATGTGCTTACATTGTTATAATTAACCCTGACTTGAAAATATAATTAACTTGGTTTAAGAAATAATTAAATGGAAACACATATAAAAAATCAGAAATAATTCCATTAATTTTGTGAAAGATGATCAAAATTTCCTCTTTTTAGTGAAAAAAAAGAGATATATATTTCTAAAAACTAATTGTTCTAGCAGCTAGCATATGATTTTATGTTTTGTTATTGGAGGTTGAAAATAACATTAGAAAAGGTGAAATAAGAAAACTGGCTAATGGCCCGGCGCGGTGGCTCACGCCTGTAATCCTAGCACTCTGGGAGGCCGAGGTGGGCAGATTGTTTGAGCTCAGGAGTTCGAGACCAGCCTGAGCAAGAGC